ACCTTTAAACTCATCCTAACAATTTTCTTCGAAAATTTATGTAAGTTCCACAAAACCCTATACAACCATTGAGGATCTGTAGAGAACCACTAAGTAGAGAGAAGTTTTTGAGTTACATCCTTCCTTGCCGCACTGATCATGCAAAAGGTTGCTTGCCCACTATTACAGTGACTCTGTCGTGCTTCAGATTGCAATCCTGAAGAGATTTCGTCGGAAGCTTTCGCTTCGAATTCACCTTTTACGGACGATTTCTTCAGTACGTTTCTTCTAAACAGTCACGTTTTGCGTCCATCACTATGGAAGATATTGTTCAAAACTTTTTAACAACCGATCAAACGAAAGATGAGCCAAATTTTCATGTTCAGCCGAATATCAGGTGCGTACGAGTTTTCTTTACCGAGACGCAAATCAAATCGGATTTGATTGCTGCTTGTTAATCATGATGAAATGCGCAAAAGCATTTCGGACCACGTATGGCTTATAAAAGTCGTATGCTCAAAAGACATAGGTCAAAGAAGAAGAGACTACTGGCGACCGATCGATCCATGCCGATCACCAATATGGGCAAGTTAGATGGTCACCGATATTCATCGTCCAAACTCCCGGCTGCTTCATCTATAGCATGAGTTAAGGACAGTTTTTCAGTTTCGTATATTCAATGACTACTCTGGTATATCAAAAATACTCAACAGCTCGCGGTACTATACCGACTAATCTGATCCAACTGATCCACTATAACCGATAACGGTAAGAAAAGTATAATACCGATTTCATCTCTGGTTAATATTGTCGCATATGTTGTTTGAATAGTTGGTAGTTCTGATGTGACCTCGATATTGATACGTGACGTCAACATATCGGTCGTTGGCGGCTCTGCTGTGGTCATTTTCTCTGTTTTATCAGGTTCCGTTGTCATCATTGGAAATGTTGCGTAATCGCTTGATGCTGCCATTAGTATTTCGGTCGTTACTTGAGAAACAAAGTTCGGTGTCATTGTAATTGCTATTGTTGCTGTTGCTGTTGTTGTTGTCATGACTGTTGAGGATGTACTCGGAACTATAAAACAAGAATTAAAAGACGTACCACACATGTCAGAAAAACGTCTTGATGATAAGGGCTGGTGTGGCTGTGGGTGTAGATGGGTGTGAGTATGGGTATCAATGACACTTTAACGCACACAGACCCACAGTCCACTCACACTCACACCCACATCCTGTGTGTCATGGAGTGGGAACCTGCGAAACCTTGATCTTAAAACTTACCCTCACTATCTTCTTCGAAAATATATGTAAGTTCCACAAAACCCTATACAACCATTGACGATCTGCAGAGATCCACTACGTAGAGCCACGTTTTTGAGCTACACACTCCCTTGCGCCAATGATCATGGAAAAAATTGCTTGCCCACTATTTCAGTGACACTGTCGTGTTTCAGATTGCAATCCTGAAGAGATTTCGTCGGAAGCTTTCGCTTCGAATTCACGTTTTACGGTCGATTTCTTCAGAAGTTTTCTTCTAAACAGTCACGTTTTGCATAGGGGTGGAAAGTTACCGTTACCGTTCCCGGGTAACAATAACGGTCCCGTTACCGTTATCTTGGTAAATGGTAACGGGACCGTTACAAGTTACTCTTTCCTGGTAACTTCCCTAAAAAGATGAATTCTTACTTCCCATCAACACAATTTTGCAACTACGTTATTTTTTAAGTTGACCCGTTCCCAGGTAACTGACAACGGGTAACAGTTACCAGGGTAACTGGTAACTCCAAATTTTTTTTTCCGGTTTATTGTCAATATTCGGTCCCATAGAAGTGATATTTAGTCTTTTCAAAAAGTTACCAGGAAAACGTAACTGGTAACGGGACCGTTACCAGTTACTCGGGGAGCTGGTAACTCCTTCCATAGGAACCGTTACCGTTCCCGTTCCCGGGTAACGGTCTGGGAACGGTAACTTCCCACCCCTACTTTTGCGTCCATCACTATGGAAGACATTCTTCATAACTTTTTAACAACCGATAAAACGGAAGATGAGCCAATTTTCATCGTCACTCAAATATCAGGTGAGTACGAGTTTTCTTTAGTGAGAGGCAAATCAAATCGAATTTGATTCCTACTGGTTAATCACGATGAAAAGCGCAAAAGCATTTTGGGCCATGTATGGCTTTTAAAAGTGGTATGCTCAAAAGGCATCGGTCAAAGATGAAGTCAGTGCCGGCGACCGATCGATCTATTCTGATTACCAATATGGTCAAGTTAGATCGACACTGACATTCATCGTTGAAATCCTGGGTGGCTTCATCTATACCATGAGTTTAGCAGAGTTGTTCAGTTTCGTATATTCAGTCACTACTGTGGTATATCCAAAATACTCTACAGCTTGCGATAATATAGCGACGAAGCTGATTCATCTGTTCCACTCAAACCGATAACGCTAAGAAAAGTATAATACCGATTTCATCTCTGGTTAATATTGTCGCATATGTTGTTTGAATAGTTGGTAGTTCTGATGTGACGTCGATATTGATGCGTGACGTCAACATATCGGTCGTTGGCGGCTCTGCTGTCGTCATTTTCTCTGTTTTATCAGGTTCCGTTGTCATCATTGGAAATGTTGTGTAATCACTTGATGCTCCCATCAATATTTCGGTTGTTCCTTCAGAAACAATGTTCGATGTCATTGTAATTGCTGTTGTTGCTGTTGTTGATGTCATGGGTATTGAGGATGTACTCAGTACTATAAAACAACAATAAAAAGAGCTACAAGAGTTGTGGGACAAACGTCTTGATGATGAGAATGTACGTGGGTGTCGGTGTGGGTGTGGATGTGGGTGTGGATGGGTGTGAGTATCGGTATCGACGATCCATTAACCCACAGAGACACACAGCCCACTCACATTCACACGCACACCCTGTGTGTACTAGAGTGGGTAGCTGCGAAACCTTCACCTTTAAACTCACGCTCACTATTTTCTTCGAAAATACATGTCAGTTCCACAAAACCCTATACAATCATTGAGGATCTGCAGAGACCCAATAAGTACAGTCACGTTTTTGTGTTGCACCCTTCCTTGTCCTAACGATCATGAAAAGGGTTGCTTGTCCACTATTACTGTGACCGTCCCGTGTTTCAAATTGCTATCCTGAAGAGATTTGATCGGAAACTTTCGCTTCGAATTACCCTTTTACTGACGATTTCTTCAGCACTTTTCTTCGAACCAATCACGTTTTGCATCCATCACTATTGAGGATATTGTTCAAAACTTTTTAACAATCGATCAAATGAAAGATGTGCAAATTGTCATGCTCAGCCGAATATCAGGGGAGTACGAGTTTTCTTTACTGCGAGGCAAATTAAATCAGATTTGGTTCCTGCTGGTTAATCATGATGAAAAGCGCGAAAGCATTTTGGCCCACGTATGGCTTTCACAGGTGGTATGCTCAAAAGACATCGGTCAAAGATGAAGTCAGTGCCGGCGACCGATCGATCTATTCTGATTACCAATATGGTCAAGTTAGATCGACACTGACATTCATCGTCTGAAATCTTGGCTGGCTTCATCTATGCCATGAGTTTAGCACAGTTTTTTAGTTTCGTATATTCAGTGACTATCCTGGTATATCAAAAATACTCAACAGCTCGCCGTAGTATACCGACGAATCTGATCCAGTCAAACCGATAACGGTAAGAAAAGAATAATACCGATTTCACCTGTGCTTAAAATTGTCGCAAATGTTGTTTGAATAGTTGGTAGTTCTGATGTGACGTCGATATTGATATGCGACGTCAACATATCGGTGGTTGGCGGCTCTGCTGTCGTCATATTCTCTGTTTTATCAGGTTCCGTTGTCATCATTGGAAATGTTGTGTACTCACTTGATGCTGCCGTCGATATTTCGGTTGTTCCTTGCGACACAATGTTTGGTGTCATTGTAATTGCTATTGTTGCTGTTGTTGTTGTCATGCCTATTGAGGATGTACTCAGTACTATAAAATAACAATTCAAAGACCTACAACACTTGCCAGAGAAACGTCTTGATGATGAGGGTGGGTGTGGATGTGGAAGGGTGAGTTTATGAGTATCCATCATCCTTTAACACACACAGACTCACAGCCCAATCACGCTCACATGCACATCCTGTCTGTAATGGAGTGGGAAGGTGTGAAACTTTGACCTTAAAACTCACCCTCATTATTTTCTTCGAAATTATATGTAAGTTCCACAAAACTCTATACAACCATTGAGGATCTGTAGAGACCCACTAAGTAGAGCCAGGTTTCTGAGTTACACCCTCCGTTGCCCGAATGATAAAGGAAAAGGTTGCTTGCCCACTATTCAAGTGACTCTGTCGTGTTTCAGATTGCAATCCTGAAGAGATTTCGTCGAAGCTTCCGCTTCGAATTCACCTTTTACGGACGACTTCTTCAGTACTTTTCTTCTAAACAGTCATCTTTTGCGTCCATCACTATGGAAGATATTATTCATAACTTTTTAACAACCGATCAAATGAAAGATGAGCCAAATTTTCATGCTCAGCAGAATATCAGGTGAGTACGAGCTCTCTTTACTGAGGCTAAATCAAATCCGATTTAATTCCTGCTGGTTAATCATGATGAAATGCGCAAAAGCATTTTGGGCCACCTATGGCTTTTAAAAGTCGTATGCTCAAAAGACATCGGTCAAAGATGAAGTCAGTACCGGTGACCGATCGATCTATGCCGAGCACCAATATAGCCAAGTTAGATCGACACTGATATTCATCGTCTCAAATGCCGGCTGGCTTCATCTACACCATGAGTAGAGCACAGTTTTTCAGTTTTGTATATTCAGTGACTAGTCTCGTATATCAAAAATACTCAACAGCTCGCGGTAGTATATCGACCAATCTGATCCACTCAAACCGATAACGGTAAGAAAAGATTAATACCGATTTCATCTGTGCTTAATATTGTCGGAAATGTTGTTTGAATAGTTGATAGTTCCGATGTGACGTCGATATTGATATGCGACGTCAATATATCGGTCGTTGGCGGCTCAGCTGTCGTCATTTTCTCTGTTTTATCAGCTTCCGTTGTCATGATTGGAAATGTTGTGTAATGACTTGATGCTCCCATCAATATTTCGGTTGTTCCTTCAGAAGCAATGTTCGGTGTCAGTGTAATTGCTATTGTTGCTGTTGTTGTTGTCATGGCTATTGAGGATGTACTCAGAACTATACAACAACAATAAAAAGACCTACAACACTTGCCAAAGAAACGTCTTGATGATGAGGGTGGGTGTGGGTGGGGATGTGTGTGTAGATCGGTGTGAATATGAGTGTCGATCATCCTTGAACCCACACAGATCCACAGCCCAGTCACATTCACACCCACATCCTGTCTGTAATGGAGTTGGAAGCTGGGAAACCTTGACCTTAAAACTCATCCTCATTATTTTCTTCGAAAATATATGAAAGTTCCACAAAACCCCATACAACCATTGAGGATCTGTAGCGACCCACTAAGTAGAGTCAAGTTTTTGAGTTACACTATCGCTTGCCTCAATGATCATGAAGAAGGTTCGTTCCTCACTATTACAGTGACTCTGTCGTGTTTCAAATTCCAATCCTGAAGAGATTTCATCGGAAGCTTGCGCTTCAAGTTCACCTTTTACGGACGATTTATTCAGTACTTTTCCTCTAAACAGTCACGTTTTGGGTCCATCACTATAGAAGATATTGTTCAAAACGGTTTAACAACAGCTCAAATGAAAGATGAGCCAAAGTTTCATGCTCAGCAGAATATCAGGTGAGTACGAGTTTTCTTTACTGAGACGCAAAACAAATCGGATTTGATTCCTGCTGGTTACTCATGATGAAATGCGGAAAAGTATTTTGGGCCACGTATGGCTTTTTTCTATAAATTTAGGAAAATGTAGAGTTCGCCACTGTTTTCAATACAATGACTATCTATAGATTTAGGGAGATGCAGAGTTTGCCACTGTTTTTAATACAATATCTATCAATAAATTTAGAAAGATGTAGAGTTCGCCACTGTTTTCAATATAATTTCTATCTGTAGATTTTGGAAGATGTAGAGTTCGCTAGAAAATCCTGCATTAATCTAACTGAATGTAAAAAACATTTAGAAGTGTCGCGTGTAGTCTGTTTGAATGTGAGCGAATGCGGTCTGAGAGTGTCACTTCTCATTTTGGAAGATCAGTGTAAAAACATGGCAGCGAAAGAAAATTTGTTTCACATTTCAAGGTATTTGTTTCAAAAGGTTTATCAGCTCTGAAGTAATTATGAATTTTGCTGCTTCAGCAAAAAGAAGATTTTATAAGTGAGGTATACTGTCGTAGAAATTGTTTTTAAAAAACGCCAATGAAGTCTTTTCGTATTTTAAACGAGATCACTGAAATAGGTTGATCGCGAGAGAGTTTCTATAAATACTTTTTTGGAACATAGCTAGATTATAGATTTAGTTTAAGTACTATGGATCTTAATATTAGTCAGGAACACTTTTTGGAAGGTGATATGCTTAATTCTTATATTGAAAAACGAACCCTAATATAGCTCGAGCAAGGGGCGAAAAAAAAGAAAGTTTGGATGAAGATCGAAGCGTGCTTTGAATTGTTTCTCTCATGTTCCACAAGCATGATTCAGTATCCATTCAAAGTGTGACCTCGATGGACGCTTGTTTCAAGAGAACTCTAATACCAACACCTAAATTTTATCCCTTTTACACTGTTTCCACAGTTTTGTTGTTGAATAATTATATATTTGGGTTCCAATTAGTTTATTTTCAGTGGACTGTTTATCTTATGTTAGTATGGAAACTACATAGAGTTCCCATACAAAAACAGGCTTATGACGGTCATATCGGTAATTCGATCCAACGAGCTCTAAATATGAGACTCAATTTAGAAAAAGGAGAAGAGCACTGCATAGTTTAGCACACTCTACTAATAAGTGCTGAATATATCGAAACCCTGCAGGCGTATATCAAACGAACTGTACATCTTCCCAAACCAGAAAATACAAATAACATAGACCACAAGAGCGAACTCTACATCTTCCTAAACTAAAATACAGAAATTACCTAGAAAACACTAGCGAACTCTCCATCTTCCTAGATTTATAAATAGAAATTCTATTGAAAGCACTAGCGAGCTATACATCTTCCCAAAAAAGTATAGAAATAACATAGAAAACAAGAACGAACTCTACAAATTTCAATTCTTCAAACAAAAAGGCTGTTAAAATTGGTTTCACTAAAAAATATTAAATGATAAAAGTAACCATTTTAATTTTCGGAGTTTCTTTTCGAAGAAATGAGTAATAACGAATTAAAAATGCGAAATTTGACACTTTCAGTCACTTTTAATGTGAAATATTCAAATTAATCGAAAAATGAAATATAATTTAATTTAATAAACTTTGAATTTTCGACTGTATGTTCGCAAATCAGAGGATACCCTCAAAAGACATAGGTCAAAGATGAAGTCAGTACCAGCGACCGATCGATCCATGCCGATCACCAATATGGCCAAGATAGATCGACACTGACATTCATCGTCTGAAAACCCGGCTGGCTTCATCTATACCATGCGTAGAGCACAGTTTTTCAGTTTCGTATATTCAGTGACTACTCTGGTATATCAAAGATACACAAAAGCTTGCGGTAGTATACCCTCGAATCTGATTCATCTGATTCACTCAAATCGATAACAACAGGAAAAGACTAATACCGATTTTACCTGTGCTTAATATAGTCGCAAATGTTGTTTCAATAGTTGCTAGTTCTGATGTGACGTCGATATTGACATGCGAGGTCAACATATCAATCGTTGGGGGCTCTGCTGTCGTCATTGTTTCCGTTTTATCAAGTTCCGTTGTCATCATTGGAAATATTGTGTAATGACTTGATGATGCCATCAATATTTCGGTTGTTCCTTGCGACATAATATTCGGTGTCATTGTCATGGCTATTGTTGCAGTTGTTGCTGTTGTTGTTGCCATGGCTACTGAGGATGTACTCAGTACTATAAAATAACAATTAAAAGACCTACAACACTTGTGAGAGAAACGTCTAGATGCTGAGGGTGGGTGTAGGTGTAGATGCGTGAGTGTATGGGTATCGATCAACCTTTAACCCACACAGACCAACCGCCCACCGCCCACTCACACTCATACCCACACCCTGTCTGTAATGGAGTGGGAAGCTGCGAAATCTTGACCTTTAAACTCACCATCACAATTGTCTCCGAAAATATATGTAAGTTCCACAAAACCCTATACAACCATTGAGGATCGGTAGAGACCCAATACATAAAGTCAAGTTTTTGAGTTACACCCTCCCTTGCCCGAATGATCATGAAAAAAGGTTACTTGCCCACTACCACAGTGACTCTGTCCTGTTTCAGATAGCAATCCTGATGAGATTTCGTCGGAAGCGTGCGCTTCGAATTCACCTTTTACGGACGATTTCTTCAGTAGTTTTCTTCTAAACAGTCACGTTTTGCGTCCATCACTATGGAAGATATTGTTCAAAACTTTTTAACAACCGATCAAATCAAAGATAAGCCAAATTCTCATGCTCAGCAGAATATCAGGTGAGTACGAGTTTTCTTTACTGAGAGGCATATCAAATGGGATTTGATTCCTGCGGGATAATCGTGATGAAATGCGCAAAAGCATTTTGGGTCACGTATGGCTTTTAAAAGTAGTATGCTCAAAAGACATCCGTCAAACATAAAGTCAGTACCGGCGACCGATCGATCTATGCCGATCACCAATATGGCAAGTTAGATCGACACTGATATTCATCGTCTAAAATGTGGGCTGGCTTCATCAATAATATGAGTTAAGCACAGTTTTTCAGTTTCGTATATTCCGTGACTACTCTGGTATATCAAAAATACTGAACAGCTTGCGTTAGTATCCCGACGAATCTGATTCATCTGATCCACTCAAACCCATAACCGTAAGAAAACAATAATACCGATTTTACCTGTGCT